TGTGCGGTTACCGAGCGATACGACGTAGTTGAGTTGCATTTTCTCAGGCGGCGCGTCGGAAAATGCAACACAGCAACACACGAAAAAGGCCGGGATGGCCTCTCTCAGGTTTCTCTCTGGTGGTGGAAAGTAATATTGGAGAGGGAACAGGGAAGAATACAAAAGAGCGACGCCGCTCGTTGGCAATAGTCGCGATTGTCATATTACGCCCGTGGTGTCGCCTTACGACCGAAGACACCGAAGACCGGAGTGCGACCACAGCGAGCCAGAACGACGAACCAGAGAGAGAGATCTCGTAAGTAACGTATCGATTGCTCCATTTGTCCCGTTGTTTCCAGCAATATCCTTCCGTACTTAACTTTTTGAGGTAAATTATTTATTTAAAGCGAAATAGGGACACATTTAGCATCTATCTCTGCGAAGAAAACGAAGAGTCTGAAAAGTCACATTGGCGTAACCGAAACGAGCGGGTCACATTGTCCTTTGTTTGTTTTCCTCCGGTGCCATCCATCTTATTATTTTATACATATTAGATTCGCTTCATTGGCCATATCGAGGCCGGTTCGGGACCGGGTGCCGTATAAAGTTTCAGGAAGGCTAGATATTCGCTTCGTAAGGAGATTGCGCATAAAAATCGACGAGAGTCATGTAGCTAACCCAAGAGGATGCGATAACAAAGGCATTCGTCGTGTTTCAACATGCGTAACTCCGATCCGATTTCTCGTTGTATTGTACAGTCATTCGGATCCGGATGAGGTCTAAATAGACCTTAAAAGAAGATGAATTTGTTATCGGATATTGTCCATTGTTATCAAGCGCCGTGACTAATCACAAACATCGGGACGTGCGCACTCTTGCCACAACTCCGAACTATCGTGAACGTATATCCTAGATACGACGCTTCCGGTGCAAAAGTACCTATAATCCTCGAACGGTATGACGAAGAATGACAATCTGTTCGTTTTCAGTCGCAGTTATCTCAAGATTGATGTTGATCTTGAAAGCGAAACTAATCAACAACTCTGTAAAATTTATGCAAATTAGATATGGCACACTAACTTCATTTGCGAACTTAATTATGTCCATTTTTATCAGTACACATTAACTTCAATCGTTTTAACTTACTTGTTAACTCATTTTTTAATTCTTAGAAGTGGAAAAAGGTAAGAAGTAAGTTGAACCGAAGTTTAAAATGTTAATCTGCATTAGCAGAGAGAATTCAAACTAACAATAAGAAGGAAATCTTTCCTATATATATTTATGTTGAACAAACAAACGTGAGATTGATATACGAAAGACGATATCATGGCTGTTAATTGGATTACTATATTACTACTGGATTGCCATAGCATATATTTATCCTTTTACTTTGTTATGCAATTTAATTATTTTAACAATTCACATTTTAAACGAGTCATATTATTATTGCGCTTCAAATACGCGGAAAATTGCAAATGCCCGAAACACAAAATTATATCCGAGTGCTCCGAACATTTCAAAATAACGCAGTTGAATTTCTCGTGCACGAGAAATCACAAGAAACTATTAAATACACGCATGACTTAACCTTGTAATTATCATAATTATTTATTGGAAACAAACGACGAGCTATGAGACAACGTCGCGAGACGGAGACGTACATACATAACATTTATAAACCGTTTTCTATACACATGCTTATCACGTGATTCAACAAATCCGTTTATCATGCTGAGCGTCATCAACAAAATGCGCATCTAGCGCGCAGAAGATCGTGTATTTTTGTTTTCTTTTTTTATACGTTCGAAGAGACGCATAATCGCACGCGCGCATTTCGAGGAAAAGGAAGAGATAAAGTCGAGTGTTCGCGGCTTATCAGTGTCATCGCGACATTGTACATTTGTACATTAACTGCGTTTTTTAGAATCTCATTAAATGGATCGATGCCGTAAAATTATATAAATGCACTCTCGACTAATATCGAGATGCTGAACGAGGAATGTTATATATTAAAGAATTCGACGAGAAACCTACGGGCTACGGATGCAAGTTTAGGAGCGTGTTCTATGAGGAATTTGGAGAGATCTTTAACGCGAATTTAATTAATTAAGGGAGACTTTTAATTCTCTCTCTTTCCAAGAATTGATTCACGTATTTGTACGCTGTTTTGCAGTTTGCGAATTTCGGATATTTGGAGCTTCAAAATCTTTCTAAAGTCTTTTGTTTATTTCTATAATACCAATGCAGATTAACTTTAATTTTGATTTACCTTATTTTTTATCCTTTTCTAGTTTTAAGAAGTGGAAAGATAAAGAGTAAATTAATTCGCATTGATAAAAATAAATATTAATCGTGAGTAACGTGATAACCTTTTTTACGTCTCGGCTGAAACGTTCGGAGAGCAGCGTCTGAAAAATTTACGTGAAAGAAAGATAAAAGAACTCTGGCCATGAGGTGAAATCTTCCGGACACCACGTACGAGTGTAAATGCGTGTGTGGCTACATTCCGATATTTACTGTCGGTACTGAAAATCCATATATTTTTCTATATTTTACGTCACGCATACTATAGATTTTCAGTACTGACAGTTGCTGACGGTAAATAACGGAATGCAGCCACTGTCAGTACTGAAAATATATAATTTTTCTATATTTTACGTCATTTATACTACAGATTTTCAGTACTGACACTTGCTGACAGTAAATATCGGAATATAGCCTGTGTGCGCGCGTGCTGTGTATGTGTGGTTGATTCGTGTGTGATAATCGTGAGCGAGACAGCTGGAGGCAGCTCATTGTTTGACGCGCACGAACGTGCTATCGCGAGGTCGACATTTTGAGATTCTTTATCTCCACGTGATAGTGCGTTCGTCGCGTATTCCGCTCAAACAGGACATTCATATAGGCTAGACACGAAGCGATTATTGTCGTGTCATCCTAAAGCTACACCACCGCAGGTTTGTGGCCTTCCGTAGTCGCGAGAAAAAAAAATGAATCACTCGCTGCATTGTTAAAAACCGCAATTGTACAAACGGCAGGGTAGGTAATCGAATCGAGCGATTACTCCGGAGGCTGTGACGCAGGAGAGGAAATTGTGTCGAAACCGTGAGCGGCGTAGCCGAGATTTTCATTCGATTGACCTCGGGGCATTTTTTTTACGCACTTGCACACAGGCATATCACTCGACAATCCTGGAAGAACAAAATGGTTCCGTCTAAATGTGATGAAAATTCTTCATGATAACCTTAGCGATAACCACAAAAAATGACGTAGTTGCGCTGACGTAACGTTTTTCAAGTTTTTGTGATTTTTTGTGTGTAAAATTTCGTTCATGCTTATTTGCGGCATCAGGACAAAGTTTCATTTTAATAGCAAGCAGTTTTTCACGAAACGTATAATTCTCTCGTAGTTGCGTCATAAATTTGGCAATACTTTGATTTCATCATCTTTCTTTTATATAAAATTTTGAAGTCTGCTCAGCGTTTCAATATCTGAGACAATCGAGATTATCTCGTCTTATTGTTTGATTGTAATTTTTTTTGATAACGCACTATAATAATATCCGTGAGTTTGCTCGAACAGGATTGTCATGACATATTTTAGTATATTCGTTTTAATCTACATTATAGCTACTTCGTTTCATATCAATGACTTTACGTCTAACCTATATTTTATTGAAATAATTCTAGGTAGCTTAATCAAGGAGTCATGATGAAGAGCGTAGTGGCTTTGCTGTTACTGGCTGTCCTTGCCACGGGACAGGCCATTTCCTTCAACAAGATTTTGGATGCAGAGTGGTTTATTTTTAAGGTATAAAATATAAAACCATCGCACTTCCCAATAGCGTAAGGTTACTGCGTCTTGCGTCATGAGGTTTAATCTAAAAAGTTAAATAAAGTATAATGAAAGTCTAGCTCCACATATTCAGTTACTACTTCTTACATTTAGACACAACATTAATATAGATATCTTGTTTATCAGTCACAGATTACTTTTGAATGTTGTGGATCAGTGTAAAATATATTTGATAGCTTGTATAAAGTATTTGATAGCAGACAATCTGATCCAACGCTTGTTAGCGAATCAAAGAAGGCACGATTGCGAGAAATTTTCGAGTCTATAACATTGAAATTATTAAATAAGATTAATAAATTGAAATGGGGCTGGGAAATAAATAAATACTAATTATATTTGTTATTATTCTAAGACGCATCATAAAAAGGTCTACCAATCTCCGATCGAGGAGGGATATAGAATGAAAATCTTCTTAGATAACACACGCAAGATCGCCGAACATAATCGCAAATATGAGATGAAGGAAGTTCCCTACAAACTGGGAATGAACAAATATGGCGATATGGTAAGTTTCCGAGAAGCAAATTTATCTGTATTAGGAAGCGAGCAATTTTCATGAAACGTATATTTCTCTTGTAGTTGCATCATGAATTTGTCAGTACTTTGAATGGTTTCAATAAGTCAGTGAGTGCTGGAATAGAGTCTGTGGGAGCATCGTTTATCTCGCCAGCTAACGTTGAATTGCCAAGAGAGGTCGATTGGAGGAAACATGGTGCCGTCACGGCAGTTAAGGATCAAGGACACTGTGGATCCTGCTGGGCATTCTCAACCGTAAGCCTATATTTTAATGTCTTCCCAATACTAATAATTTTGAACAATACTTACAATACTAATATCTTTGAATGATGTCAATATTTTTTTTGCAGACTGGGTCTTTGGAAGGACAACATTTCAGAAATACTGGCGTTTTAGTATCGCTAAGCGAACAAAACCTGGTCGACTGTTCTGGCAAATACGGCAACAATGGATGCAATGGTGGTTTGATGGATCAGGCATTCCAATATGTCAAAGACAACAGAGGCCTCGATACTGAGAAGAGTTACCCATATGAAGCGGAGAATGACAAGTGCAGGTTTGTATTGATTGTAGAAGCATAATTGAAACGTTCGTAGAATTTAATGATTAATTAAATTACTGAAATTGCAGATACAATCCGAGAAACAGCGGCGCTATCGATGTCGGATACGTAGATATTCCACAAGGAGATGAGGAGAAGCTAAAGGCTGCGGTTGCCACCGTAGGCCCGGTCTCGGTCGCTATTGATGCCTCTCATCCTTCCTTCCAGCTTTATCGTGAAGGTACATATTATTCATATAAATTTACTTAATATAGTTAATAAAT